AGCATTCCCTGACACAGATCACTCCATACACAGCAGTTGTCTTTCCATTCTCTGAACATGAGTCAAATAGAAGATTTCCACCAGACAATCTCCATGAAACATAATTTCCCACCCTTGTATATAGACCCCATTTTGGGAAGAAGGGGCCTAAGCACACTGGTATTGCACAAATCTTTTGTGCTGGGGTCTCTACTAGGCTACTTTCCACTTTCTGAATAGAAACATCTCTGGCTGTCTTTTGAACGCTACATAATGACATGGGACCCAGCAGCAGTAGAGGCCCCACTTGTTCCTTGAAGGTCATCCAAAGCAAGGCATTTTCCATCTTAACCCCAGGCCTCATATGATCATGAGGGTAATCTTACCTCAAAAGGCACCAGATTAACCACAAGAGTATTTTTCAGTTATGCAAATTAACACACCTGGGTGTGATTCCACCCAGTTGTCCCAAGACACAAGGCCTACCCAGATCTATATTCCCTGGGACCACTGACTTGTTTTTCCAAACAAGTTTTGGGAAACCCAGTCTTTTTTTTAAAATAAGTTTTTAATAGTATATGATAGTTGTGCATACCTATATTGTAGGAAAACCAGTCTTAAAAGACCAAACCATTATTCATTCCCTTTAATTCCACAGACTAGGCTTAATCAAAAGGCCTTCCTGCCTTGCTGGAAACAGAAGAGTCTGACTCCTTTCTTTTTGTTCTTGATTTATTGTTAAATCACCATTACAGCAACATAGAATCAAAACAATTGTACATAATCACACACATCAATTACCTATGTCCTAGAGCATCACTGTTTCTCTCACATATAGCTATGCATTTGTTATGGTTTGGGTCTTAAATGTCCCCTAAAAGCCCTTTGCTAAAGACTTGGTTGCCAGTCTGTGGTGCAACCTTCTGGGGGCAGAGCCTCGTGGGAGGAGGTGAGGTCACTGGAGGGCATGCCCTTGAGGTGGATATTGGGACATGGGTCCCTCTTCCATCTCCTCTTCTTCCTCCTCCTCTGTCTGCTTCTTGGCTGTTGTGGTGAGTAGTTTTGCTCCATCAGTACTCAGTGCCATATTATTCTGCCTTAGGACCAAAGCAATGATGACGAGTGACCATGGACTGAAACCTATGAAACCATGAACCAAAGTAAACTTTTCCTCCCTTAAGTCAATTGTCTCAGGTGTTTTGTTACACCTAAGACTCACCAATTTTGTGGTGAACTTTTGTAGCAGGGAAGAGGATCAGAAGAAAACAGACTAGGTCTGAATCCTGATAAAGCAGCAGGGAAGTAGGGATGGCATAGCAGAGAGATAAAACCTGAGAAATCTGAACATGAGGAAGGTCACATAGCACCAGGGAGGGGAAAGTCACATAG